ATTCCCACCTGGGTGAAGACAGGAGGAACATTCCCACCTGGGTGAAGACAGGAGGAACATTCCCACCTGGGTGAAGACAGGAGGAACATTCCCACCTGGGTGAAGTGAGTAGGAACATTCATGTAAAGTATCTTTCCCACAGACACAGCATCAGGCCCCTGAAGGGATCCGAACCCTCCACCTTACGGTTGGGAGTCTGAGAGTCTACCCAGAAGGCCAGAGGACACATGCCGGAGCGTGCCGCGGCGCTTACCTTTGATATTTTAGTTTTAGTAAAAGTTTTACGGCACTTGCAACACAATAAGGTCACATAAGTGCCGAAGAATAGAGGTGTTACAAGAGAGTAACAAATACAAAGGAGGAGAGAGAAAGACGATAGATGTTTGATACGAAAGAAGGAGCAAACCACAGCAGAGCACCCACCAACCACCCACTCACCTCTGATGGTCATGTACAGCACCCACCAACCACACACTCACCTCTGATGGTCATATAGGGCACCCACCAACCACCCACTCACCTCTGATGGTCATGTAAGGCACCCACCAACCACCCACTCACCTCTGATGGTCATGCAAAGCACCCACCAACCACCCACTCACCTCTGACGGTCATGCAGAGCACCCACCAACCACCCACTCACCTCTGATGGTCATGCAGAGCACCCACCAACCACCCACTCACCTCTGATGGTCATGCAGAGCACCCACCAACCACCCACTCACCTCTGATGGTCATGTAGGGCACCCACCAACCACCCACTCACCTCTGATGGTCATGTAGGGCACCCACCAACCACCCACTCACCTCTGATGGTCATGTAGGGCTGTGAGAAGGCCGGAGCGGCCCGCCAGCGATCGTTGTCGTAGTCGCCAGAGGAACGCCCACTTGGCACTCGCACAGGCTGGGGGGGGGGGAGGAGAAAGCAGTAGAAAGTCACTTTTGGTTTTGTCTCAGTAAGAGTTTTACGGCACTTGCAAACACAAACAGGCCCCGTAAGTGCTGAAAATGAGAGGTGCTACTGGAGACTACCATGTTCGCAGAGACTACCATGTTCGCAGAGACTACCATGTTCCCAGAGACTACCATGTTCCCAGAGACTACCATCTAGAGACTACCATGTTCCCAGAGACTACCATCTAGAGACTACCATGATCCCAGAGACTACCATGGTCCCAGAGACTACCATGTTCCCAGAGACTACCATGTTCCCAGAGACTACCATCTAGAGACTACCATGTTCCCAGAGACTACCATCTAGAGACTACCATGGTCCCAGAGACTACCATGGTCCCAGAGACTACCATGTTCCCAGAGACTACCATGTTCCCAGAGACTACCATGGTCCCAGAGACTACCATGGTCCCAGAGACTACCATGTTCCCATCTAGAGACTACCATGTTCCCAGAGACTACCATCTAGAGACTAC